TGCTATTATTGTTGTTTTTGTTGCTGCTATTATTGTTGTTTTTGTTGCTGCTATTATTGTTGTTTTTGTTGCTGCTATTATTGTTGTTTTTGTTGCTGCTATTATTGTTGTTTTTGTTGCTGCTATTGTTGTTGTTTTTGTTGCTGCTATTGTTGTTGTTTTTGTTGCTGCTATTATTGTTGTTTTTGTTGCTGCTATTATTGTTGTTTTTGTTGCTGCTATTGTTGTTGTTTTTGTTGCTGCTATTATTGTTGTTTTTGTTGCTGCTATTATTGTTGTTTTTGTTGCTGCTATTATTGTTGTTTTTGTTGCTGCTATTATTGTTGCTGCTGCTGCCATTATTGTTGCTGCTGCCTCCGGCTTTCGCCAACATGCGTTTTGCCCGATGATGCTCTTGCAGAGGCTTTCTCGGCAATCTATGGGAAGTTTGCTGCATGGCGAAGAGCCCCAGACACCTCAATCCTAAGTGTGCCCCCCCTCACTGCTGCTGCTGCTGCTGCTCACTGCTGCTGCTGCTGCTCACTGCTGCTCTTGCGGAGGGGTTGGGGGGAAGGGGAGGAAGAAGGCAGCCTTCCTCTCGCTGTAAGCAGCGCTCTCTCCTGGCATCGCTTCTCGTAGAAGCGATGTCACTGGTGCTGACAGCTCCAAGTGTCTCTGCGCTAACAGCGTCGAGGCAGGCTGCACGATCTCTCAGAGCTGCTGCTGCGGGAATTCTTTTGTACAGCGCAACCTCGCCTTGTCATTTGAGCATGCCAGCAGCCAATCCCTTTCCGCCTTCACTGGAATCGTCAATTTCCAGCAAAGGTGCTGCGCTTGTGCTGCTGCTGCTGCCCCTCATGATGCTGCGAGTATGGGTGCTGCAGGGGATGGTGCTGCTGCAGCCCTTCACGCTGCTGCAAGTGCTGCTGCTGCGACAACTGCTGCGGAGACACTTATTTTTGCCAGTTCCTCGAGCAGCGGTGTTGCTGCACATGTGCGAAAGGCCGCTCGCCTTCGTGGTGTCTGTGTGTGCTGCAGTCGATGACTCGCCCTTCAACACTTGCAACCTTGCCATGCAGTCCCCTCCCTCCTCCTCGCAGCAGCAGCAGCAGCAGCAGCAGGCGCTGCTGCTGCGGCAGCGGTCGCAGCATCGCCTCCCCACAGATCTACGTTGGTGTGTTGAGATGCCAAGAGAGTCAGACGAGCAGCAGCAGCAGCAGCCAGCGCATCACTTTGCTTCCCCTGCGCTTCCACTCGCCAGCCTTTCGCAGCCGCCCACCGTCTCCGCTGCTGCTAATGGTAAGTTCTTTCTCAGGAAATGTTGAGGATGCCTCTGGTAGTGATTCGGAGCACGAAGCCGTGATTTGCGCTGCTGTCGGTGTGTGGTGGTTCCCTCTGTGATCTCTGTGTGACGTTTGACTGCTCTTGAGCTCCTTTATTTAAAAGCCTCTGCTCGCTATGCGCACTGCGCTCTGCAGATGCCGAGGTAGCAGTCCGATCGTCTGTAGACGAATGCATGGAGAGCCGTGAGTACTGTGTTGCTGCTGTTGCTGTTGCTGTTGTTGCTGTTGCTGTTGTTGCTGTTGCTGTTGCTGTTGCTGCGCATCAGGCGAACGAGCTCACTATTGCTGCTGTTGCTGCTGCTCCTGCAGGGATAGCCGTTGTGCGGCTGCAGCAGGATCCCCTTGTGGCTTCAGAAAAGCCAGGGGTAAAATCGAAAGCGTCGCAGCAGTACACGCAAGCGCCGCGAGAGCTGCAGCTGCAGAGGAGAAGAGCTTCTTCCGAAAGCAGCAGCTGCTGCAGCACGACTAGGCAACAGCGGGATAGGGCGGCAGCGGCAGCCGCTGCACCAGATGGCGGAGAGAAAGCTGCACACACCGCTCCTGCACAGGCAGATTCGACGCTCACGCACTCAGCCGCTGGCAGCAATCGTCGGCTCAGTAACGACAGCAGCAGCAGTTCTGTAGGCTGCCCTTCACTTCTCGCGTTGCTGAGGAGCAGGAGGCATGCAGCAACTGCGCGAGGCCACTTGCTGCTGCCGTTTTCTTCGATGAAGAGCAACAGCAACTGGTCGGATAGTAGCAGCACCCCCTTCGCCACTCCACGCTTGGGTGAAAACTTGAGCACCACACAGCAGCAGCAGCAGCAGCAGCAGCAGCAGAAACACGGTCCCCAAACAGCAGGGGCTCAAGGATCAGGCGCTGCTGCTGCTGCTGCTGCTGCTTCTGGTCGTTTATGCCGCTCAGTGCATCAGCTGCCGCTGCAGTACGAGCAGCTGCTGCAGATGCAGCAACAACTTCAGCAGGAGGAAGTCGAAAGGCGCCAAGAGCAGCAGCAGCAGCAGCGAAGAACAGGCATATCCTCCTGCATGGCCTCGTCCTCCATGAAGGCACTTTTGCTGAAGTGTGGGACGATTGCTTGCGTCTTGCCTGAAGATGACGAGGAGGAGCTGCAGCGACGCGCGCTCCAGCAGCAGCAGCAGCAGCAATTGCTGCAGCAATCGGAGCAGCAGCAGTTGCAGCAGCATCAACACCACAAGCAAAACGTGCATCGCAATTCCACGTGCCAGATGCTTTGCACGCCGCAGAAAGCCGCGCACGAGATGCATCTGGCAGAGAAATCCCTAGATGGACGGCTAGCGCAGCAGGAGCAACCACAGCTCACCAGCCAGCAGCTCTAGCCAGCAGCTAGCTCTCCACTCACGGACGGTGGAAACGTCTTGAGGGTTCTACTGGAGACAAGAACCACAACGACTGGAGAGGCCCTTCTACAGACGCAGCAGCAGCGCGGGAGAAAGCTTGTTCCTTTCTGAGATCTATGCATTTTCAATACAGGAAAACTAGGGACGGCGCTCGCGGAAGCATCAGCAGCAGCATCCCCCCCTCCTAGATCGAGGGGATGGGAAGTTGTGTTGGATCCTTGGCAGGCAGAAAAGAGACCAAGATTTTCTCGGAGAGCGTTTTTAGCATTTGTCTCTAGAATTCAAGGGGTTTGACTTAGGCCACCAGCACAGATCTACGGAAGCGAACGGCTGTGCACGCTCCTTCGCACTAGCAGTATCCTATATGATTGATGCACACGAAATACTTGTGTGCTCCCGAAACTGCACGCCTACTGGCGCTGCTTGCTGCGCTGCATTTGCTCATGCGGTGCTCTTAGAGTTGCCACTGCTGTCAAGCGCATCTCGCCAGCGGTGGAAACTCACCAAAGTTTCGCGCAGCGTGGTTGGCATGACTCGGCACTTGCCAATACCCCGCCTTCCTGCTCCCCCAGGGCGTCTCTGCTCGCCCTGTGGAAGCAGTAGGCTCTTCGCCTGCTCCGACAGTTTGCGGTGCGGCATTTAAAAGGTTTAGCGAAGGTGTATGACACCCAGCGTTTTTCTAAGGGCACCATTGTATCTCGTCTGCCCCCGCGGGCAAAGTTGTGAGATTTTTTTCAGAACTTTGGTATCCCCTACGTTTCGGGGGTAGCCTCGCATTTGGTCACCGCCTTGGAAGCTTAGGGCGGCTCCTGACTCGAAGCACACTAGAGGCTGGAGTTGGACGGACGGATACAAGTCTGACGGGAGGGCGAATTCCTGCTTGCTTCCCCTCGACCAGATGCAGTTTTTGTCATGATTTAGGCTGCAGAACAGAGAAAAATGCAAATCGAGGCCTGCTGCTGCGCCGCCTGTTGGCACGCAGAGGCGTCCACCCCTTAGCAGCAAATCGAACCACTCGAAGCATGGGGCCCTTAAGGCGCTATGCAAACGTACAGGGCGCAACCGTCGCAGAAAACTCCTTGACAGAGCTGCATTTTGAGCATAATGCATATCAAAGCATTTAGAGTTTTGAGGTTTGCATGTGTGCTGGTTGCAGCACCACGAGATCTATCCCCTCGCATCTTTAGAGTCTGAAGTTACGTTCATGAGCGCGCCCGTTGGTGCAGCATGTACCTGGGTGTCCTCCCTGCTGCCGCTACGCAGGCCTCTCTCTCTGAATTATAGAGAAATTTCATTTCTTGGCCCTAAATAATCCCTAGTTTGCGGTGTCTTTCCTCGCCAGACGCTGCCGAACGCTAGAAACGCCTGCATACGCAGCTCGCGAGACAGTCGAAGCTAGCGTGCAGAGCAGCAGCACCTGCAGGGGGGTCACCCACCACGGCTGCGACCAGAGCAGGAATACGCTTCATGAGGCCTATTAAGGGGGCGTTTGAGTCTTGGGGGAACCGCTAGAACCACAAACCGCTGCTGAAACAGAGGCTTCCACGCGCAGGGTAGCGAACCAGCGGTCACCTCCTCTCGGCAGCAGTCGTCAAGCCAGTTGCAATGAGCAGCATCAGCATCATCCCCGACGCTGCTGCGGAATTCGACTCGCTGAGAAAGGAGCCTGCAGAAGCAATGCTGAAAAGTCTATCAGCGCCTGCACCACCAGCAACAGTTGCTGGAACAAGGCAATCGAGACCCTCTGCACCAAACTCCGATTCAGAAAAGAAAATAGATTTGCCAGCGATCCGCGCTCATCCAACCCCCCCAAGAATCTCAGAGCCGGTATGTGAAACTTCACAACTCCCCTCAAGCTCCAGGGGAAGAGAGGCAGTTCCAACGACAACGCCAGCGAAGTATGTAGAACTTTCAGCTGCAGAAACACAGCCAAACGCAGCGTCAGGATCTAAAAGCGATGAAGCTGCAGCAGCAGCGATTCATGCAGCCGCCGTACCAACAACTCCGGCAGGTGTTGCAGCAACTTCCGCTGCAGTGGCAGCGGCAGAGTCGAAGAGCCATGAAGCTGCAGTACCTCCCCCATCAAAAAGTCATGAAGCTGCAGCGGCAGAGTCGAAGAGCCATGAAGCTGCAGTACCTCCCCCATCAAAAAGTCATGAAGCTGCAGCGGCAGAGTCGAAGAGCCATGAAGCTACAGTACCTCCCCCATCAAAAAGTCATGAAGCTGCAGCGGCAGAAAGCACGTCAGAAACAGCCTCAGCGCCAGCGTCAGGTGCAGCAGCAGTTGCTACAAGAACTATGTTGCCAGAAGCATCCACAGCGGAAGAGCTCGATGCATCAACACCTTCTGCGAAAGCGCACGTCTCCCCAGTGACACCAGATGCAGCAGCAGATGCAGTACCAAATATGGAAACTCAGGGGAAGGAGGCCAATAGTAGCGAGCAGCAGCCGGAGGAGGAAAGGGAGTCGCAGAAACACCTTTCGATGCAGGATCCGTTGTCGCTGCAACGCGGCTTCTCGCACTTCATGAATCTTCCCAAGCTCCATGAGAGAAACAAGGGCGAAAGGGGGGCAGACGATGGCACAAGGCGTCGCAGCGGCAGTGTTGTTGGAGAAGGCGAAGCAGACAGCCGATACAGGCCTAGTAGCAATGGAAGCACTGACACAGAGAGAAAGCAGGAAGAGGGAGACGCGACGAAGCGACTTGCTGACGGGCTGGAGGATGTTGTGGAGTATATACAGTCGGACGCTGAAAAAGTTGAACTGGTGGTGAGTAGTAGCAGCCGTGGCAGTACTTGCTGCAACTACAGCAACGCACCATTCTTTCGGACGGCTCGCTTTCCTTCATGCTGCTGCAAACGCAGCAGGAGACGCTGCTGCAGCAGCAGCAGCTAGCCGTCAACAGCCGCAGCAGCGCCAGGGGCACAGATGTAGACGCACTGTACGAACAGGATGCGGGCTGTCTGTGTGCACTTGCGATTAGAGTGGAGAGGATGACGCAAGCGAAATTCCCCAAAGGGATGGCACTGCAGATGCTGCGCGAACTGGGGAGAAGGGAGCAGAGACAGCCGCCCCTCTCTTATCCGCAGATGCTGCTGCCTCTGCTGTAGCAGCCAGTGCAACAGCAGATGCAGCAGCAGATGCAACAGCAGATGCAGCAGATGCAGATGCTGGAGCTGCCCCCTCCCAAGGTGAGGTGTGCTGCTGCTCCTGAAGGGCTTTGTTTGAGAGGTGCATTCTACCGCGCAGAAGCTGTCCGTTCTTCAACAGACTCGGTGATATGACCCCTGCCGTTCGGAAGATTGTGCAGCTGCGGCTATGGCGTGCCTTCCGCAGCTCCTGTAGAGACAGCTGCGATGCTGCTGGACGCTGTGCATGAAAGATCGAGAAGCTGCAGCGCCGAGTCGGCAGAAGCCATACAAGACTTTCGCTTTGAAGCCCTCGCACCGGTAGCCTTTTAATATTTATGGAGAGCTAGTTGCTCTTCGCCTGTTGTTGATGTTGTGTTGATGGCTGGCCCTTCTTCCGTCGCAGCCGCATTCTGAATATTGACGCATCGTTTCCGCCGTCCTCTTGTGCAGTGCCCCCTCCGATGCTGTCTTTGTACCTTTCGTGGTACTCACAAGTCTGTGGAGCGCTTCTTTTTCCAGTGTTTCGGTGTCTCTGCCGGTGAATAATTTGTATTTTCGCGCCGTCTCCGAGTTTTAGTTGAACCGGCACTCAAAGGTCGAGATGGAAGGCTGCCGCTCCTCCTTCGTCTCCGCGCAGTCACGCGTTTGAGCTTTCTTTCTTTCTTCGATGGGGGGGCAGTTTTTGGTTCTAGAGCTTTTGACGGTTTAGCCTTCGGCGCTTGTCGGTCGTGTGTCGTGCCGCTTGCAGCTAGCTGCTTTGTGGCTGCCTCTGTGTAGCTGTGATGACTCGCTCTGGTGAAAAGTACGCCCTCGCTATACGTCGACTTTTTCTGGGTTTCTTCCTCATGATTATGCTGTATGCGCATGTATCCTCTTCTAGGTGCACGCGCCGCTGCTCGCAAGGCCTTCCCTTTGTTTGCTCGGTTGTTTGCTTGCTCGCTTGATTGCTTGCTTACTTAATTGCTTGCGTGCTTGCTTGATTGCTTGCTTAGTTGCTCGCTTGATTGCTTGGTTGATGGCTAACTTGCTTAAATGCTTGGTTGATTGATTGTTTGTTTGCTTGCTTGGTTGGTTGATTGCTTGCATATTTGGTTTCTGGCTTGCTTGCTTGATTGCTTGCTTAATCGCTTGCTTGCTTGCTCGCTTGATTGGTTGCTTGACTGCTTGGTTGCTTGCTCAATCGCTTGGTTGCTTGATTGCTTGCTTACCCAATTGCTTGCTTGATTGCTTGCTTAGTTGCTCGCTTGATTGCTTGGTTGATGGCTAACTTGCTTAACTGCTTGGTTGGTTGCTTGATTGTTTGCTTGTTTGCTTGCTTGGATGATTTCTTGCGTACTTGGTTGCTGGCTTGCTTGCTTGATTGCGTGAATGGTGACTTGCCTAATCGCTTGGTTGCTTGCTTGACTAATTGCTTGCTTGCTTGATTACTTGCCAGCTTGACTGCTTGGGGCTTGCTCAATCGCCTGATCGTTTGCTTGCTTGCTTAGTTGCTTGCTTGATTGTTTGTTTGCGCAAGTGCTTCTTTGCGTACTTGCTTGGTTGCTTAACGGCTTGCTCGCCAAATTGCTTCGTTGATTGCGTGCTTGATTGCTTGCTTTTGCGTGCTTGCTCGCTTGCTTTTGCGTGCTTGCTCGCTTGCTTATGCGTGCCTGCCTTTCTGCCTGCCTGTGCAGCGTCCTCCCGAGTATAGTGGCTTTCTATGGAAGAAAAGCCCTGTTGCGCTGGTGGGGTGGCAACTTCGTTGGTTTGTTCTAAAAGACAGGCGATTGCTGTACTACAAGCAGAAGGGAGACGTGCGGCCTCTAGGGCGGCTCGACTTGGAGCTGATTCGGATCAAAGTGCAGGTAGGTGCCGCTGCATGCAGGCATAGTGGCAAAGCGGGAGCGAGGGCAGTCTAGACTGAAGCTGGCAGTTGAGGGGAAGGGGGAGAAAGGGGGAAGCAGGGGCAGGTTGGCAGAATTCTGCAGGGAGCGGAGGGCGCCTCACGCGGTTGAACACGGCTCTGTACAAGCGAGGAGGCCACTTGTTAGAGGGAGAATGTGGGGTGAAGAAGCAGTAGAGTTAGACAGTCTGCCAGACGAAATGCGGCTTACTGGGGGTGAAAGCCAAGGGGGCTCCTCGCTTGAGTTTTCTGCCTGCCTTAAAGACACGAGGGCAAAGCTGCACAAGTGCGCAACGCGGCTTGAAGGGAAGCGTCGCAGAGTTGGAGATCAACAGAAGGCTGTGGAGCTTCACCATGGGGGAAGGCTTTCTCCAGTGCCCATTTCAAACGTGGTTGTCTCTGCGTCGTGCAAATGCGCAGTGTCTGTGGAACCCTCGCCAGCTGCATGGAGGGCTTGTCGCAATGGGGGCGAGTTTCTTGGAGCCGCCAAGCCGCAATTGCAAGTGGACCCTTGAGAGGCGCTAATAAGCTACCTGCAAAAATACATGCATATACATTTAGGCATCTATATTTATACACATCATTTTGAACATGTATATTTGTACATGTATATAGATATCTCTCGGTTGCGCGCGCTAAAGCGGGCGCAAAAAAAATAAAGTCTTGGAACGAATAGGGGAAGAGGCACTGCGCAGGAGCAGATAGATCTTGAGACTTGAGGGAAAGGAAACAGGACGCCTAGACACTGCGCGGGGGAGGCTGTACTTTCGGAAACACACACACACACTCACACGAAGGAGACTGCGAAAATCGGCAGCCAGCACTAACAGGCATCAGGAAAATGTTTCGTCTGAGAGATCCTCTCTGAGGATTCTCCTCTTGTATGCTGGTGGTGCTTTGTATCTCAGATCTCCTTGACTTACTTTGCTGCGGAGGACGTCTAGGGAGCAAGGCTGCCCTCTCTGCTGGGGAAGAGCAGCCTACGAGACTCAGATTCCGCATCAAGCCCCTTGGAAGCAAGCGCATATTTGAGCTTGCAGTAGGGAGTTGCGCCTTTGCCAGCTAAAAATTTCTGCCCCCTGGGTTTGCTGCACACACGCACTACGCTTCTAGCGTCCATCCTGGAGCTGCCGCAGACAGCGCGACGCATGACACAGCTCATGCCCGGGCAGGAAGCGCACAAAAAACACACAAAAAACACACAAAAAGCACAGGCGCGTGTTGGTATCGTGTTTCTTTGTGGCGTGCTCAGGGCCATGTTAACGAGGTGATTGAGTGGATTGATAATCTGCGCGAATCTTACAGGGGCAGTCATATGAAGGAGTCTAGCGCCGCGGCTCTTGTCGCTGGACAGAAGCTTTTTTGGAAGATTGAGAGGGTATCGCCTTCAGTCTTCCAGGATGTTAGTTCCACCGGAGATATCCTCCTTTTCAGGTCAGTCTTGCAAAAGGCGCTATATATATGTATGTATACGTCTATGTGTATGTGTCTGTATATGTACATATGTATATGTGTCTGTACTGCGGTTTCCGAGAAACGCGCCTTATGTTAGAGAGACGGGGGTGAAGGGGGGGGATACGTCAGGGTTGTTTGGGGGGAGAGACTATTACGCAGCGGCTTTGGAATGCAGTTGGGCAGAGCAAGTGTATCGCATTAAGGATTTAGGATGAATATTTCAGCGAGGCTACTCCGCCAGGCACCAGTCCGAAAGTCTTCATTCTTTGGATACCCCATAGGCCTTAGATATATCTAGATGTACGTGTATATATATGTGTGTAAATGTGTGACTTTGTGCATGGAGGGTAGGGGGGGGCATGCATGGGCTCTAGAGTCGGCCAGCCGATTTTCCGCTGTGCTTCGATTTGCTGATGGCAGCGGAAAGCGTGCGGTGCCTTTTTAGTTCCTGCCCTCTGTAGGTTTACCCTTTGCTGTGAATGTACTTTTTGTATGCATGCATGCAAAAAAAGCAAAGCCTCCCGCATCGGGCTGGGGCATGCGCTTTCGTCTGCCCCAGTGGTGCTACGGGCGCCGTATGTTTGCAGGAAGTTGCGTGGCTGTTCGGTGTCTATGTGCATCTGTATGGGTGTACTGTACATACAGCTATGGGAGGGGATGCTTTCAATACGCCCAAAAAACACCAAGGCTTACCAAAACACCAAGGCTTGGTGCTTCCTTCGCAGGACGCTGAGATTCAATGCCAAAATGCAGAGGCTCATCACGAGAGGGACCTACGATCACGTGGGGATGGTGCTGCGGAATAGGCGAGGCAGTATTTATATTCTTGAGTGCATGGGTGATACTGTAAGGCTAGCACAAAGGGGCAACGTCATGAAACTCCCGGGAAATTTAAGCATCCGAAAACGTCCACAAATGTAGCGGTCTTTGCCGTTTTTCACGTCCTGCCCTCTCGGGGTGTTCGTACACCTGTGCCCACCTCTCTGTGTGCCTGTATACCTGCTTCTATGCGTGTTTCTCTCGCTCTCTCTCTCTGTCTCTGTCTAAGCCTAGTCTGCACCACCCCGTTTCACACACACACACACACACACAAACACACACAAACACACACACACGCACACACAACGCTCTGCACGTTGGTAGGACAGACACGTATGTGTTGCTGGTGCTCACTGCATGTCTCTCATGCCCAGTTCTGCATACGAGTTGTGTTGCACACGCCGTACTAGGCTAGGCTATGTGCACCCTCGTCCATGGTGTGCAGAGAATAATGCAGCCTCTGCAAAGGTCTCTCCACATGAGCGCTTGCAGGGCGTTATTTTGACACCCTGGTCGTCCTTCGTGCGAAATCAATGGTTTCGAGTTTACCAGCGGTGCGTCTTTACCAAAAGCTCCTTGGGGAACCACGGCCTGTGCAATGCCTTTGTCTTGACGGGTGTGAGACAAAGGCTTGTGCGTAGATGGCCAGTCCTTTTCTTCTCAGCGAGAACCGTGTATACGAAATGGTGCAACGCACAGTCCCTGGGGAATGCCGTGTCTCTCTCTGTCGCTTCATGCTGCTTTTTTCGAGCTGTGCAAGCACACGTTTTCTGAGCTCCCACTGCCACACACGCGTTTATTGGGGGGCGGGCAGATGCAGCGCGAAAGAGGCCTTTTTTCTCGCTAGTCCGTGTAGCGCTGTCTCTGCATGTACGGACTCCAAGGCCTGTGTGCTGCTGCTGCGCTGCTGCTGCGCCTTCTTGGGTGTACTGACACACCAGCATTGCCTGGCGGCGCCTTTACTGGCCGGTGTCTGAGGAGCGTCTTGGTCAGTTTCTCGCGTTCCTCAAGCTGGTGATTGGACGCGATTACAAGCTGACGCTAGCCAAGCTCCTCAGCAAGAAGCCGTACGGTGGGTGACCCAATTTTTTTGCTGTTCCCTCTCGGCGAGGGGCTGAAGCCTCGACATGTGTGTGTGCTTCTCGTGCAAGCGCAAGCCTCTATAAGACTCGGCGATTACAGCTGCTTAGTAGATGTGTTTGCGTAAGGACCTGCCGCCACCTCTGCAGAAGTGGGGATGGGGGGGAAGGGGGCGTCATTTGTGTGTGTGTGTGTGTGTTTGTTTGTTTGTTTGTTTGTTTGTGTGTTTGTCTCTTTGTTCTCTCGCTAAACAGTTTCCATGATGTTTCCGCGTGCCTTGACTGCTCATTCCCGCTATCTCGTGGCGGTGCGTTCTGTGTTTTTTTCATCGCCTGTCTGTCTGCTGCTTCGCTCTCTGGTGCGGTGTGTGCGCTCGCTTGCATGGGGAACCTCAGATGAAAAAACGGCGGATGGATTCTTCTGCTCAGAGTTGATCGCCGACGCTTGGAGAGTATGTCGGGCATACTGCTGCTGCTGCCGTTACGGTTGTTTGCCGCTGGGGGAGCCCTCCTGCTTCTTCTCCTGGTGTAGCTGTCAGTGCCTCTTATCCTGGCGGTGGCATGAACACGCTGAGAGGCTGCTCTGTTTGTTAGCATGCAGAGTGAGGCAGACGTGCGCGGCGAGTCTGCGTCTGCGTAGAGATCTTGCCAGTGTTCTTACATGTCAACTTCCGTGGATGGGGGAACCGAGGGGGGTGGGGGTGGGAAAGGGGAAGGTCTGTATGGCTGTGCGTTGTGGAGTTACACTGCCTCTTCGGGGAAATAATTATGAACGCTACTTCAGGTGATGGGCGTCCTTCCAGATAATGCCGTTAGCACGCAGTACTGGCCTGGTGAGCGAAAGACTGCGTAAATTCCTTCGCAGATCTGCCGATTTAAATCAGACTTCTTTTGTATATCCTTAGTCATTCTCTACCCTATGACCCTTTACGTTGGTGCATGCATATGGGCGCTTCTCTCTCTTGTGTCTCTGTCTGTCGTTCCGTCTGTCTCTCTCTCTCTCTTGCACGACTCTGTCTCTCTCTCTCTCTCTGGCAAGACTCTCTCTCTCTCTCTCTCTCACTACTCTGTCTCTATTCTATCTCACTACTCAGTTTCTACTTCTCTCTCTCTCTGTGTCACTACTCCGTCTTATCTTTTACCTCCTCCCTCTTCGCCTCGTTTCTCTTTCTGTGTCGAATGTTGTGGTCCCCTTGCTGCCGTCGAAGGGGGGGTCCTGTTGCAGAATCTTTGTTTCTTCTCCGCGTTTGCGGCTGCTTTCCCTGCCTCTCCAGAGTGCTTCTCGCAGCGGCTGGATAGCCAGCTGCGCCTTACGGAGGGCTGTTCACTGGGGGAGGAGCTGATGGTGGACTTTTGCTTGTACACCCCGGAGGCAGCACAGCAAGAAGAAGCAAGGCGTGAAGCGCAGCGGCAGAAGCGGCACAAGAAGAAAAAGCCCAAGCCGAAGCAGACACCTGCAGAGCTGCCTCTCATGGTGAGCACTTTGGTCGGTGCGCGTGCAGCTCGGCAAAAGGATGCAGCCAAAGGCCGCATGAGCAGCGGCAGGAGTGGCTCTACAGGCTTGCCCGTGCTTACACCCGATACAGCGTCTCCGACAGCTGTCGGTACCCCGAGAGACAGCCAACCTCAGAGTGCTGCAGACGGCGAGACAGCAAGGCGCTTTTTTACAGAAAACGAGTCAGGCTCTCTCAAGGAATCCCTTGGCATGGCGGCTGCTCTGTCTGTCAACAGCCAAGGGGCACGCGTGGAGCACCACTAAGACAATGAGCTGCAAGCGCCGCAATGCCTGCATGGGCAGTCAACAGCAGCGCGGAAAGAAACATCGCCGCGGCAGCAGAATTTGCCAGCCGGAGAGAGGGGGCGCAGCATGCGCAGCAGCATGCCAGCTCTTACGAGACGGACGCAGTTGCAGACGGGGAAAAAAGGAATCTGGCTACGACTTGAGGAGGTGGGGTTGCTAGGCACACACCGCGGGACCGAGACACTCGACAACAGTCGCTCCACCAAGGGAGACAAGGGCTGGCTCCTTTTTGGCTGAGGGGGTTGTTGTTGTTGCGTGGCTAGCTGCTGCCGACGCCGCGTGTAGACTCCAGTGCAGCTTGTCTGTCTAAACTGGACCTTTAGGAGGAGAGGTAGGGCTTCCTCCATCATGTTGTCAGCAGAAACGCATGGCAGTTTCAGGGATGTGGGAAGCGGCAGGGAGTAAAACGGGGGAGGAGCTCGAAGCAGCGACGCTAATTGTTCTAGAAAAAGCCTGTATTCAAGGGAGAGAACAAACATCTACAGTTTGAACCTGCCGACCTAGGCTTCTAGACACGCACTGGCATACACACAGAGTGCTGATACGCTTGAAAGCAAGTATGCATTGACACGCATGCAGCTGTAGCAATGCGAGTAAGTGTGTTCATACATACGCATACATTGTAAATAAATGCATTCTATGTAGGTACATAGAACAGATGTACATCACCTATAGTTTCATACACCTACACACATGTCTACTTGTATGCACATGCACATACACAAAGATCTAGTCACCTGCAGATTCCTCTCCCATATGTGCATGCTGCCTCCCTTGTGTACTCTAAGCTCTAAATACTAGACATAATCTTTGAGTAGGTATGCATATGCAGACTTCCGCACAAAATACATAGCGGCCACGACGTTTTAAAAACCTGTTCATCTTCTTGCTTCTTTTCGTATGTTTTGGCACTGAGTACCCCGTGCGTTGCCTTGGTCGCTAGCGAATTCTGCCCCTGTCGAGGTCCCTGTAGATGTGCGAGTTCGCCCTGGAGCGATCGGAAGGCTTGCTTCCCTGCTGCTGCCTTCGCCGGTGGAGTAGGCTTTTATGTTAACGGCATTGCGAGTGGCTATGTTTCGCTTGTGCACTATACTCTATACATATACATATGCATACAAATATATATATATATATATATTTACATGCATGCGTACTGAGCGCTTTTCGGGAGGAACGGCAGCAGCAGCATGCAAACCCCTGCACAACTGTCCTATACCGCAATCTCTTCCTCGTGCATGGTGAAAGCTTAGGCGTAGGTGGCGTGAAGGCGTTTATGTGTGTACGCGTGTGAAACGCCTACACAGGGTGCTTTTAATGTGGAAACGTGCAAAAGGTCGTGTCTGCACACACTGCGGCGAAAGAATCCCTCATGACAGAGTGTCGCTGGAGTGTCTGTACACCCTGCGGCGAAAGCGCTCCCGTCGGACAGTGTAGGGCGTTTTCATGAAGGAGAGGGCAAGTGTGTGTCGGATTAGTTTTGCATGTCCTCTAAATCTCTTGCAGACTCCAAAGGGTCATCCGTCTGTCCATGCATAGCCTCCTCCGTGTGTGAGCTGTCTGCGGATTTCTCTGGCGGCTGCTTCTCGAAAGCAGCCCGCAACGCTGCTTGCACCCTCTTGTCGTTCATAATTTGAGAAGCTACGGGGCGGCTTTCTTCTGCACGACGGTCGAAGGGGTAGCGTGCAAATAAGAGATCAACCTGAGGGCACATTTAGCACAGTTTGCAAGTCTTCGCAGGAAGGCCTTTTCTCTGCGTTTATTAGGGTTCTTGCATCTTGAAAGTGCTGCTGGTACGACGGCGGGGGAACAGACTGCTTGTAAAGTCTACGATTTGGAGCAGTCTGAAGCGTTGCGAACCTCAAAAGTGCAACTCGAATGTACCTCGTCATCCGGGTTGGTGTCTTGTTTCGGAATGTGTCTGCTGCGTTCTCCGTAGCAGCACCGCTGCTGTTGCTGCTGTGGAGGATCTGCTGCGGCTAGCTGCCGGGCGCCTCTGGCTGCTGCCCGAAGGCTTGCAAGGCACCCTGCGTGTGTCTGGTGCGGCTGCTGTTGCTGCTGCTGCTGTTGCTGCTTCTGCTGCTGTTTTTGCTGCTTCTGCTGCTGTTGCTGCTGCGGCTGTTGTTGTTGCTGGTTCAGTCTGCTTCTCGTGAGTG